CAATTCTTTTTGGAACAATGACTCTGTGTATTCCTTCCATCTTCTTTTGATGCTTCTTGCATCATTCAGTACTTTCTCCATAGAATCCTTCAATATTGCAACTCAGTGCTTGAATTTTTTCTTTAGTTCTTTCAGCTTGAGGAATGCTGAACATGTTCTTCCCTTTCGATTTTCTATCTCCAGGTCTTTGCACATTTCATCATACTACTTTACTTTATCTTCTCGAGCTGTACTTTGAAATGTTCTGCTCAGCTCTTTTACTTCATCATTTCTTTCATTTGCTTTGGCTACTCGACACTCAAGAGCAAGTTTCAGAGTGTCTTCTGACATCCATTTTGGTCTTTTCTTTCTTTCCTATCTTTTTAATGACTTCTTGGTTTTTTATGTGGGTTGTTCTTGATGTCATTCCACAACTCATCTGGTCTTCAGTCGTTAGTGTTCAATGCATCAAATCTACTCCTGAGATGGTCTCCAAATTCAGACAGGATATACTCACGGTTGTATTTTGGCCCTCGTGGACTTGCTCTAATTTTTTTCAGCTTTAATTTGAATTTGCATATGAGTAATTGATGGTCTGTTCTGAAGTCGGCCTCTGGCCTTATTCTGACTGATGATACTGAGTTTCTCCATCGTCTCTTTCCACCGATGTAGTCAATTTGATTCCTGTGTATTCCATCTGCGAGATCCACGTGTATAGTCACTGTTTATGTTGTTGAAAAAGGTATTTGCAATGAAGAAATCATTGGTCTTGCAAAATTCTATCATGCAATCTCTGGCATCATTTCTATCACCAAGGCCATATTTTCCAACTACTGATCCTTCTTTGTTTCCATATCTTGCATTCCAATCACCAGTAATTATCATTAATATTACACACAAGTAAAACTATGCCGATGATCATTCAAAAGCGGGTGCAGCAGTACATCAAAAGGAAACTGCCAGAAATTCAAGAAGAGGATGTGGAACAAGGGATATCATTGCTAAAGTCAGATGGATCCCGGCTGAAAGCAAAGAATACCAAAAAGATGTTTACCTATATTGTATTGACTATGCAAAGGCATTCAACTGTGTGGATCATAACAAATTATGGATAACAATGTGAAGAATAGGAATCCCTGAACACTTAATTGTTCTCATGCAGAACCTGTACATAGACCAAGAGGCAGTCCTTCAAATAGAACAAGGGTAATCTGAGTGGTTTAAAATCGGGAAAGGAGTGTGTCAGGGTTGTATCATTTCAGCGTAATTATTCAATCTGTATGCTGAGCAAATAACTGGAGAAACTGGACTATATGTAGAAGAAAGTGGTATCAGGATTGGAGGATATCTCATTAACAACCTCTGATATGCACATGACACAACCTTGCTTGCTGAAAGTGAAGAGGACTTGAAGCACTTACTGATGAAGATCAAAGACCACAGCCTTCAGTATGAATTACACCTCAACATAAAGAAAACAAAAATCCTCACAACTGAACCAATAAGCAATATCATGATAAACGGAGAAAATATTAAAGTTGTCAAGGACTTCATTTTACTTGAATCCACAATCAACACCCATGGAAGCACCAGTCAAGAAATAAAACAATGTATTGCATTGGACAAATCTCCTGCAAAAGACCTCTCCAAAGTGTTAAAAAGCAAGGATGTCACTTTGAGGACTAAGGTGCACCTGACCCAAGCCATGGTATTTCCAATTGCCACATATGCATGTGAAAGCTGGACAATGAATAAGGAAGACTGAAGAAGAATCGATGCCTTTGAACTATTGTGTTGGCAAAGAATATTGAATATACCATGGACTGCCAGAAGAACGAACAAATCTGTTTTGGAAGAAGTACAGTCAAAACACTTCTTGGAAGCAAGGATGGCAAAACTTGGTCTCATATACTTTGGATGTTATCAGGAGGGATCAGTCCCTGGAAAAGAACATCACACTTGGTAAAGTAAAGGGTCAGTGAAAAAGAGGAAGACCCTCTACAAGATGGATTGACACAGTGGCTGTAACAATGGGCTCGAGCATAACAATGATTGGAGGATAGCACGGGACCAGGCAGTGTTTCGTTCTGTTGTACATGGGGTTGCTATGAGTTAAAACTGATTCAACGGCACTTAACAACAACAAGGGGATTTTACCACCCCCTCTGCCTGAAGGGAAATGGGGAGGTGTATCAGTTTCCTATGGCTGCCAAATGCCACAAATTGGGTGGCCTAAAGCAACAGAAATATATTGTCTCACAATTCTGGAAGCTAGAGGTCAGAAACCAAAGTGTCCACAAGGTTGGTACCTTCTAGATGTTCTGTGCCTCTCTCCTAACTTTTGGTGATTACTGGAAATCCTTATCATTCTTTGGCTTGTAGATACCAAAAAAAAATGGAGTTGATTCTAACTCATAGCAACCCTATAGGACAGTGTAGAACTGCCCCACAGGGTTTCGAACTACTGACCTTTTGGTTAGCAGCCGAGCTCTTAACCACTGCACCACTAGGGCTCCTGGCTTATAGATATGTCACTCCAATTTCTGCTTCTGTGTCTTCTGTGTTCTGAATCTATATCTCTTTACAAAGACACCAGTCATTGGCTCTAAAGCCCACCCTAATCCAGTATGACCTCATATTAACTTGATTATATCTGCAAAAATCCTATTACCAAATAAAGGCACATTCACAGGTACTAGGGGTTAGGACCTCAACATATGTGAGGGGAGGGGACACAATTCAACCCACAGAGAGAGAAGGATTTCTCTGGAGCCCAGTTATAACTGGAGCCATGGAAGAGGAGCCACTAACTGGAGCTTTGGTAGTAGGAACACAACCAGCTAGAACCAAGCCACAAGGGAGGATGGTAAGGAGGGAGGGAAATAGACACCCTGACTGTAGTCTTCTCACATTCTGTACCTATCATAGAACCCAACCTGAAGCTTCTGGAAGGCAAGGAAGCTGTAGATATTATCCCCACGGGTCACAGAGCAAGGCAAGAAGGGCAGAGAATAAGTGTGTGAGAATGAGTAAGGACAGAGAATGCCATGGGCTAAATGGCTGAATGAATGAATAGATAATGAATGAAGTGAGCCCAGGGCCCACTTCAAACTGAGCTGCAGAAATAAATGAAGAGACTAAGATGCACGTTATGACCCTCTGCCCCAGAGCCCTCACTACTGCTGCCTGCTACTCCAGGCTTTCCACCCCACAAGCTCTTGTCCTGTGCCCCGCCCCAGCCTCCACTGACCCCTCAGGGCTTTTGGCAAGAGCATGGGAGTCTGGAATTCATTCAAGAAGTGGCAGAGGAGAGCAGTAGTTGTTGTGAAGAGTTAAAACATCATCAAAGACAGAGCTTTAAGTCCTGAAATAATTCCCAGAAGCTGGAATGCATTCTAGAACGTCAGTGTTTTAAAAATGAAAAAGTCTGTGTCACTGCACTCTATGAAGAAAAATTGGTGGTTTCTGAGAAGCCTGGCCCAGACAGATATTTGTGTCACAGGCTCTGGATTCACCAGACACCTCATTAGCAAATGCCTTGAGGCTGGCCCTCTCACATCATAGGCTTTTATTGCAAATACATCCAGACTCTCAATTCATTATGCCAGTAGCAGTGATGTTGAGAAAGTGGTGCATGCGTGTGTGTGATCCTCAACGGTGTGAAGCCACTGGTCACTGTCCTCAGCCTCCTGCCTGTCACTTCCACTTCCGTCAGTTGAGTCAGTATGTAGTTGAAAATAGTCAGTGATCACTTTCTCCAGGGACAATCCTCAAGCTTCTGGATTTTCAAGACTCAAATTATTTGAAAGCACTGTTTGGTCTGCTACTCGAAGTGTTTGCTTTTGCATGGAATGTACAAGACAAAACTGGGCACTAAATTAGGAATTGCTGTCCATATATCAAAGCAAGTTGTAAAAAGTGACTATAGACATATACAAGCATATTGTGGATCCAAGAACTGAAATCATTTTTTTTTTTTCCAACTCAGATTCACACACTCCAAGCAGCCGTCACTTCATGCTTCATAAACCTGGACCAGTCCCAGAGTACATAATTTCTTATATAAAACCTACAGCCAGATACTGGCAGGTTCAAACCATGATTTCTGGCAGACATAACCCAACTGATACAACCCCAGACCCAGCCATCCACTGAGCCAGACAACCTCTTCCTCACCTAAAGCTGTTTATACCTAGAAAGGCATTCTTCCACCACTGCTCATATGAACCAATGAGATAGAATCAAACCTGAGCTTCTGGTTGGTGTGGCTAAATTCCAAATTCAGTCATAACTTTGTAAGAATTTGTCAATTAATTCCATCAAAGGTCTCTAGAACTAAATTTCATAATTCTTATCCCAAATGGGGTAACTGGCAAAATTTGAGTAAGATCTGCAGATTAGATAACAGTACTCTATCAAGGTTAGTTATGTAAGAGAATATTCTTGCTTTTAGGAAAACACACTGAAATATTTAGGGATAAAGAGACATCGTGTCTATAACTCATTCTCAAATGACTCAGAAAAAAATAATAATTTACGTACACAGAGAATAATAAAACAGTTGCTGTTGAGTCAATGCCGGCTCATGGCAACCTCATGTGCATCAGAGTAGAATTGTGCTCCATAGGGTTTTCAGTAGCTGATTTTTTTTGGATGTGATTGCCAGGGCTTTCTTCCAAGGCACCTCTGGGTAGACTTGAACCTCCAACCTTTCAGTTAGCAGCTGAGCACATTAACTGTTTGCACCATCCAGGGACTTAAATGTGGTAAAATATCATTGACTAGGAATCTAGGTGAAGGGTTTATGGGAATTTTTCTGTACTGTTTTTGCAACTTTTCTGTATATTTGAAATTACTTCATAATAAAGTTGCAAAAAAATCTATTTCCAGAAGACTAGAGCCGTCATATGCCTATCACTGAAGTGACAGTTACTTCAGCCAAGCTAGTGCTGCAAGGTGAGCCAGAAATGGCATCCCTGGTTTGTCGTCTCTGAGCTAACATGAGTCATTTCCTCTTTCAGCTAAAGAATCCTTCTCTTGTTCATGGAGGCAAACACTAAGGATGCTGCACACATGAATCCTGAAGGTAAGGAGACTTGACGACATGCCCTTCTGTCATACCGCCCATCGGTCCTACTGTCCATGTCACCAGGCAAAGGCTGGGAGTCAACTATCTGGGTTCACAGAGAATAATTCCAAGCCAATACCAACATCATCGCATCCTGTTCTCCTCAAAGACCTTTTCAATCTCTCCAGTCTGTCCTGCCTCGAAAGCCCTGACTCTCATCCCTTCTCCACTTTTCTCAAAGAAAAGACCAAAAATGTTAATAGACGATATCTCCTAGTGGTACAATCATGAAGGATTTTTATTTGCTCCTTTATATTTTTCTGTACTTTAAAGATTTTCAATGATTGTGTTTCTTTTATAATCAGAAAAAGAAATACTGTGTTTGCTTTTATTTCCCCAAGCTGCTGTGCATAAATTCTTGCCTTAGCTTCACCACCACCACCAGTTGCCATCCAGTCAATTCCAAATCCTGGCGACCCCATGTGTTGCAGAGTAGAACTGTGCTTCATAGGGTTTCATGGCTGTGACCTTTCAAAAGCAGACTGCCAGGCCTTTCTTCCGAGATACCTCTGGGCCCCAGAGACTCCCTGCCATTGCTTCAGCCCCCTAATAGTGTCACTGCATTGTCTATCTCCTCCTTTCTAGACTGATAATAGATATTATGGCAAGACTCGTATTTGGTGGGTGGATTCTGCTGCATTGGGGAGGATGTGTCCATCCATAGGATGTGTTTCAAAGGTGTCCATAAACTTTTCACCCACCATACTTACCTGCCAAAGTCCCTCACATTCCTATCACTTGAGCCTCTGTTTTGTTTTGTTTTTAATTGTACTTTAGATGAAGGTTTACAGAACAAATAGCTTCTTATTAAATAGTTAGTACACATATTGTTTTATGACATTGGTTAACAACCCCACAACATGTCACTCTCCTTTCTCAAACTTGGGTTCCCTATTACCAGCTTTCCTGTCTCCTCCTGCCTTCTAGTCCGTGTCCCTGGGCTGTTGTGCCCCATTAGTCTCATTTTGTTTTATGGGGCTGTCTAATCTTCGGCTGAACAGTGAACCTCGGGTGTGACTTCATTACTGAGCTAAAAGGGTGTCCAGGGGCCATACTCTTGGGGTTTTTCCAGTGTCTGTCAGGCCAGTAAGTCTGGTCTTTTTTTGTGAGTTATAATTTTGTTCTACATTTTTCTCCAGCTCTGTCCAGGACCCTCTGTTGTGATCCCTATCAGAGCAGTCAGTGGTGGTAGCTGGGCACCATCTAGTTGTACCAGACTCAGTCTGGTGGAGGCTGTGGGAGTTGTGGTCCATTAGTCCTTTGGACTAATCTTTCCCTTGTATCCTGTTCTCTTCATTCTCCCTTGCTCCCAAAGGGGTGAGACCAGTGGAGTATCTTAGATGGCTGCTCACAGGCTTTTAAGACCCCAGACGCTACTCACCAAGGTAGAATGCAGAACATTTTCTTTATAAACTGTGTTATGCCAATTGAGCTAGATGTTCCCAGAGACCATGGTCCCCACAGCCCTCCGCCCAGCAATTCCATCCCTCAGGGAGTTTGGAAGTATCTAATAAGCTTCCATGACCTTGCCCTGAACAAGCTGTGCTGGCTTCCCCATTGTTGTGTACTGTCTTACCCTTCACCAAAGTCACCACTTATCTGTTGTCTATTTAGTGTTTCTGTGCCCCTACCCCTCCCCTCCATCATAACCATCAGAGATTATTTCTTTTTGTGTATAAACCTTTTCATGAGTTTTTACAGTTGTGGTCTCATACAATATTTGTCCTTTTGTGACTGACTTATTTCGCTCAGCATAATGCCCTCCAGATTCATCCATGTTATGAGATGCTTCACAGATTCATCATTGTTCTTTATTGTTGCATAGTACTCCGTTGTGTGTATGCACCATAGTTAATCCATTCTTCTGTTGATGGGCATCTAGGTTGTTTCCATCTTTTTTTTGCTATTGTGAACAATGCTGCAATGAACATGGGTGCATATATCTATTCGTGTGACATGACCTCTGTTTTGACTAAAGTACTGTGTTTCCCAAAACCTACACACTTACCTAAGGGGGCTAACACCTTAGTTTACGAATAGAAATTTGTTTATCAGATGAACTTGCTGGTACTTCTCTAAACAGAGGGCTTTAGAATTGGAACACAAGGCAGGTTAATTTTGATTGCAATGGAAAGACTGAGATGATTGGGGTATTGCGCTCTATACATGCACTCTCCAATACGGTAGCCACTAGCCTCATGTGGCTATTTACATTCATTTAAATTAAATAATATTAAAAATTCAGTTCCTCAGTCATACCAGCCACATTTCATGTGCTCAATAGCCACATGTGCCTAGTGGCTACCATATTGGACAGCACAAATGTAGAACATTTTCATCATCACAGAAAGGTCTATTGGACGGCATTCCTGTAGACTGCCACTGCTACTGGCAATGGAGAGTTCTGGAAAGGAGGTGCAGGCGGCCTAAGAACATGCATCCACTGTGCCACAAAGCTCTTTACGTGACACCTGGAAGTAAAGGAGCTGCTGGGTCCTGCCCTGGGGCCATGTCCTCTATTGCATGGCCCCTGGTTCTGCAGACTCATTGCAAAGGGAGAACAGCTCAGAGCATGACTCACACACACGAGTCACAGGACCCTTAGCCAAAGTGAAATCACTGCTTTGGTGGCAAAAGGCAGCTGGGCAGCATTCAAGAGGGCACTTAAAGCTGAGAGTTTCCAAATCAAAAGACAGTCAGGGGACAAGGAGAACCTTCTCCATCTGAAATTAGACCTGTGCCCAGAGTGTCTGAGGAACATGGAGGGCTCCGAGGTACAACTGTCACCCCTTAATGATAGCAGTGGAGTCCCTGGGTGGTGCAAACGATTAACACACTCGGCTACTAACTGAAAGGTTAGAGGACAGTCTACACAGAGGTACCACAGATGAAATACCTGGCAATCTACTTCCAAAACATCAGCCATTGAAAACCCTATGGAGCACAGTTCTACTCTGATGCACAGGAGGTTGCCATGAGTCGGGTTCGACTTGATGACAACTGATTAGGTTTTTAGTAATAACAGTGATTCACACTGCCATAGCACTTTGTAGTAAGGTGGAGCACTTTCCCAGTAGGAATTAATATCATGTTCACTATAATCAGCTGAGGAAAGCAGGGCAGATGTGACCTCCACATTACATTAGAGGAAACTCTTGCTCAGGAAGAGGAAGAGAAGAGCCACAGTGATGTAGCTGGTGAGTGGCTGAACCAGCTGTAGAAACTACCCACCAACTGTCCACAGGTCACGTGGTCTCTTACAGCTGATAAGGGGTTACTTTGCACCTCTCCAGATGCCTGAGAGTGTCAGCCCAGCAGCCTCAGTTCACATCCAGCCCCAAGTTAATGACCGGGCCCTTGACGGTCTGATGGACTCTTCCTTACGAAAGGATTTCTGTGAGTGGCAGAGTGAGGGTACTAAGATCAAAACCTAGAACATTGGCCTGACTTTTCCCAGGGGATCCTACCTAGACAAATGCTGAAATCCTGAAAATGGCAACGTGGAAACACAGCTTACAGCAGCATTTGGACCTGATCTGTGCAGCAGACACCAGGAAGATGGGGCTTCCATGGCTCCCCAAACACCCACTCAGTCTGGAGAGGGAGACCCTCAGCATACCAGCAATGTTTGTTCTCTAGAAAAAGATCTCGAAAACTGGATCAGATTAGTCAGTTAAGTAGGACATTCAAACATTTGTGGTCAAATGTTTGTAACTTATTCTCAAATATGAAAAGGCCTCTCACTCTGCGGGAGCCATTTACATACTTGGCTAAATAGCAGATCAGATCCTTTAATTTCCATTGACATAACATGCACATAAATAAAGAGATATGCAGAGTAATTATTGGAGTTTCACTTCTAATGAGCTCTAATGCCAAATCAGCCACTGTCCAGAGAATTGAAAAGAAAAGAAAAAAAATCAACAAGATGATCCCATAGACAAAGCACTGTTAAGGATAGTGAGAAAAATGAAATGATTACTTTAAATGTGCCCAATAAAGCAACACACTACTTTGACCCTTTCCCTTACAACAACCTCCAAATACTTTTCATTCAACATTCACCTTGCTCTACCTCTAAGTCACTAGAGTCCTCGCAGTTGAAAACATGCCCATATCCTCAATTAGACCATTGAGTACATCCAATATTGGTGCCCAGAGCTGTCCAGCCAAGCTTCAGTCAGACTTCTCTTCCCTAAGGCTAGATGGGCCACACTGGACTGCTTTGATCTGAGAGCTCTCCTTCCCCCCGGGTTTGCGGAATCATTGACTTGGGAACCTCCCTCCTGCATTCTCCTGGGGCCCCATGTCCTAGTTAGGAGGCTTTGGGCTGCAAGTAATAGCATGCCTGGCTAAAAGTGGCTTCAACAGTGAGCGTGTAACACTCACCTAGTAGTCCTGAGGAAGCCAATTTCAGGTTTGATTTAACAGCTCATAAGGACCCACACTTTCCTTTTGGGGGAAGCTTCTGATCACCTCTCTTGGTACCAGGGAGGAAAATCTTTCCCAGCAGTCCTCAGATTTCTGCTATGTCTCAGTGGCCAAAATTGGATAGGATGACCACTCTTAAACTAATCACAGACATAAGGGAAATGAGATTACCATGCTTAACTTAGATATCTCCTCACCCCCTGGGGCTAGTCACCTGGTACCTGACAAAGTTAGAGCCCTGTGAACAAAAAAGAGTCCCTCGGTGGTACAAATGGCTAACATGCTCAGCTGTTAACTGAAAGATTGGTGGTTCCAGTTCACCCAGAGGCACCTTGGAAGAAAGGCCTGGTGATCTTCCTCCAAAAAATCAGCCATTGAAAACCCTATAGAGCACAGTTCTACTTTGATACACATGGGGTTGCCATGAGTTGAAATCGACTCAGCAGTAACTGGCTTCAATGGTGAGCAAAAAGGGAGAGATGTGGCTGTGGGAAAGCAACCAGCAGTGAATGCCATACCCAGTTACA